GCTTTAAAAACTTATTTGAGTTGACTTCGGTCAATATTTTATGTAAATAGACCCGGATCAGTATTTTGACGGTCCTGCTGGGTCTGTATCGTGATTTGGGACTTGGGCATACCCGGAATCAAATTCGGAAGTTCCTAGCTTGATTTAACGCCATTTGTCGAAAACTAGAAATTTAAATGTTTAAAGAATTCTTAAATTTGGCCATAATTGGATTTTATTGATATCGGGTCCCGATTTGCATTCTGAGAGTTCGAGCAGTTTCGTAATAATATTTATGACTTGTGTACAAAATTTGAAGTTATTCCGAGGTACGTAGGCACGTTTTCCGTTAGTTTTTGAAAAATTAAAAGTTTTGATTTTATAAAGCTTGAGTTTCTAAAGTTTGACTCGAGTTTGACTTTGTGGTTAACGGGTCCATAATTTAGTTTTGAAAGTTTGTACACGTCCATTTCACTATTTGAAACTTGTATGCAAAACTTAGCGCGATTCGGAGTTGATTTGATAGGATTCAGACGCTTGGTTAAAATTTTTGATGTTCTTGAGATCTCTTTGAAATCCATGCATTTTGGCATTCAATTCTAAATTCTAGATGTTATTTTGATATTTTGATCGCGCGAGAGAGTTCATATCATGTTTTAGGACCTGTGTGTAAGTTTGGTTGAGGTCCCGAGAGGTTCGGGCGAGTTTTGAATAAGTTTGAGCAATTTGGCACTTTGGGCTGCAAAACATCGAATTTGTAGGCTTGTTAGTATGAATTCGGAAGTTATATCTTTTAATCTATAAGGAATTTGGAGATGATCCAAAATTAAAAGTTTTATCACTTTGAGTCTAGTTTCCAGAAAGTTAAACCATTCATCATTTGGACATTTTTACAGAAAGTTATGATCGATTTATTGAAGACTAGTACTGCAGTTTGCACTGCAATGTTGAGAAGGTCGCCTTTTTAAAATGCGACCACCCTGGAAATAAGCTGAAACATGTCGCATTTTAAAGAGGTGACCTGCCTGGGCAGCTTAAAAATATATTCCAGCTTCTTTTCTTCATTTTCTTTTGAAAACTAGTCCGAGAGTGGTGATTGTTTGAGGGTTCTTCAAGGAAATCATTGGGGTGAGTGATTCTAACCCGGATTTGATTATATTTCATGATTCCATAATTATTTTTATCGTTAAATTAGTGAAAATCGGAAAAAATCTTTCAAAATTGTAAAATAAAGAGTTGAAGGGCGATTCGATATCGGAATTTGTTAATTTTGGTATGGTTGAACTCGTGTTGGAATGGGTATTCGGGTTTTGTGAATTTTATCGGATTCTGAGGTACGGGCCCGAAGGGTTGAATTTTGTTGACTTTTACGAAAATGATTTAAATTGAACCTCTTTCGAATTATGAGTAGTTTCTATAGTTTAATTTGAATTGTTGGCCAATAAATTTCTAGATTTGGTTGGTTTGGAGGCTTGTTCGAAAGGAAATGCTGTGGTCGAGTGATTGCTTGAGTTGCGAAGCAAGGTAAGTATCATGGTTAACCTTGACTTGAGGGAATATGACTTGTTTGCCTATTTGTTACGTGATTAAATGTGTGGGTACAACATATATGTGAGGTGACGAATACTTATGTGTTGTAGTTGAGTTAAATCATGCGGGGTGGAACTTGTTTTTTTGTGATTTATTGCCTATTTAATTACTATATCTATGCTTAGGTTAGGCTATTACTTATTTGATCATTCTTTCTGTATTTATTGCTCATTTAATAATTGTTGAATATTTTGGAAGTTGAGGTTGGTACCCTGGTATCATATTGGACGATAAATACAAATTCCCGCATTTAAATTATATTTTAGAATTTATATTATCCTTGCTCCAAGGTAAGGAAGAGTGTAAAAGCACGAAGGGTGATGCCGTGCTATTTTTATATTATCATCTATTGATTTATATAGTGATGAGGAGAGTTAAAGCACGAAGGGTGATGTCGTGCCATTTATATCATTTATTCATTATATTGTGGCAAAGAAGAGAGTTAAAGCATGAAGGGTGATACCGTGTCATTTCATGTTACTTATGACATCATTTTATGGTATGGATGAGAGTAAAAGCACGAAGGGTGGTGCCGTGTTATTTTTATATTATCAACTACCTGTTTTCATTGTTGATGATTTAATTGGCTGCTGCATGATATTTCTCCTACTGTAATTATCGTATCTTTTCCATTTTGCATGTCACCTCACAATTTGTACATTGTTAATCATTATGTTCGTTACTGCTTCGTATATGTATATACTTGCACAGGTTGTTTACGTAGGTGTCCTGTCATAGCCTCGTCACTATTTCGTCGAGGTTAGGCTCGACACTTACAGAGTACATGGGGTCGGTTGTACTCATATTACACTCTGCAATTTTGTGTAGATTTTGGAGTCGGTCATAGCGGCGGTCAGTAGATTGCTCGGATTGATTGCTTGTACAGAAACTTGAGGTACAGTTGCACGACGTTCGCAGCCCTGAAGTCCTCTTCCATCTTATGCTAGCTCTTTATTTCATTTCGGACAGTTTATTTCATTCCGTCCATTATTTGTATAATTCTAGTCACTCGTGCACTCCTGACACTAGTTCTGGGATGGTATTTAGACATCGTTGTTATTGTTGGTTTACTCACTCTATTTAAGATTTATTTCAGTTATGTTGGTTTCTTATTATTATTGAATTTGAACTTTTAAAAATGGCAAAAATTATTCTAACGTTGGCTTGCTTAGCAAGTGAAATATTAGGCGCCATTACGGTCCAAGGGTGGGAATTCTGGATCGTGACAAGTTGGTATCAGAGTACTAGTGATACAGGGTACCAACCTCTGGTTGCATTCCTTCCTAGTGATACGGGGTGCCAACCCCTGGCTACAATTCCTTTTAGTGATACAGGGCGTCAACCCCTAGTTACATTTTCTTTTCATTAATACAGGGTATCAACCCTTGGTTACATTCCTTTTCAGTAATACAGAGTACCAAACTGTGGTTGCCTTCCTTTCTAGTAATACAGGGTACCAACCCCTGGTTACATTTGTTTTCAGTAATACATGGCACCAATCTCTGGTTACATTTTCTTTCAGTAATATAGGGTACCAACCCCTGGTTACATTTCTTTTCAGTAATATAGGGCACCAACCCCTAGTTACATTTTCTTTCAGTAATATAGGGTACCAACCCCTGGTTACATTTCTTTTCAGTAATATAGGGCACCAACCCCTAGTTACATTTTCTTTCAGTAATATAGGGTATCAACCCCTGGTTACATTCCTTTTCAGTAATACAAGGTACCAACCCCTGGTTGCATTCCTTACTAGTAATACAGGGCACCGATCCTTGGTTGCATTTTCTTTTCAGTAATACAGGGTACCAACTCCTGGTTACATTCCTTTTCAGTAATACAGGGTATCAACCCCTGGTTGTATTCCTTCCTAGTGATATAGGACGCAACCCCTAGCTACATTCTTTTTAGTGATACAGGGCGCCAACGCCTAGTTACATTTCCTTTTCAGTAATACAAGGTACCAACCCCTGGTTACATTCCTTTTCAGTAATATAGGATACCATCCTCTAATTTCATTTCCTTTTGGTAATGCATGGTACTATCCCGTGGTTGCATATCCTCACATAGCTAGTTTATATTGATGTCTTCGTTTTCCTTTTAATAAATTAGATAATTTATAACTTTCTTTAATAACTCACAAAAACTTTCTAGTGCCAACTTGGGGCAGAAAATATTATTCGTTTTGTTCGTCTTTGATGGCTTTGCAGGACCTTGCCGTAAAACACAGATTGTAACGATTAAAGCTTGTAGTTTTAGTTATCTTTAGAAAAGAAGAGGTCTTTTGATCACAAGATTGTCAGAGTTAGTTTTGATAATATGTCAACAACCCGTCTTTCCAAGAATCAAGTTCCAAACTCTGATAAAAAATAGAAGATTTTTCGAGCACCAAGACGGTTGGGGTCGAGCTTTGACGTAATGCACACATCGACCAGCATCTCAAAATCTATCTTCTTTGCTTCTAATTATGAAGTCAACAAGCCCCAAGCTAAAGGCACTTACCTTCCAATGTGGGTTTACACGGTTTAAAGTGTAGATGCAAGATGCAAGACACGAAGAGTAGATAGGACCCTGTATTTTCCTTTTTCTTCAATGTAATTTTACGTAATAACATGATCGCGGCTCAGAACCTCGACAAAACCTCACTCGACTCTCCAGCTCATCATTTCATTACTCTCCTTGAACTACACGCGACCTGATTCCCTTATAACCTGGGATATGTAGGCTAGCCGAAACTAGGACTCGGTTGCACTCTTGCACTCTTATATCTTATTTCTTCCCTTTTGAATAATGATATGGTCAAAAATTAGTCAGATGGATCACCTTGTCTTTGCCTGAAAACTCTTCATGTTTCCAAGCAAAGAGGAGCATGCTGTTAGCACCTAATTTATTACCATAGTTAATTTTTATCACCTTCTACTATGTAAATATTTTTAGGGGTTTAATCTACAGTTTTTATCTTTGTTTCACCTTTTTTATAGGGTTAAAAAAATTAAAAATAATTTAAAAGGTCAATTATTATTATTAATATTTTTTTATCATTAATTTTTTTTAAAAACCCAAAATATTTAAATAAAAAAAATTCTTTTTAAAAAAAATAAAATTCGGGTGGAAATATAAAAAAAGGGAAAGGGGAAGTATGGAATTAAAAAATAAAACTAAAGGGGGTGGGAATTAAAAGGAAAGTGGAAACTAAAAAATAAAAAGTAAAGATACGTGGGAATTAAAGAAAAAAAATAAAAAAGTGGAAATTAAAAAGAAAAGTAAAGGAAGATGAAAATTAAAAATTAAAAGTAAAGGAAGGTGGGGAATGAAAACAAAAAGAGAAAGAAAATGGGAATTTAAAAAAAAACTAAAAACATTCCGAAAATTTCTCTATAAATAGAAGAGAAAAGTGTGAGAAAAAATGGAGAAGAAAAGGAGAGGAAAGAGTGGAGGAATTTTTTTTTCTTCTCCTAAGATCTAAATCTAGTAGCAAAAGACAAAAGAATAACATCAATTTCTTCTTCTAAAAAACATTCCGGCAACTTTACCCATTCTTCTCCACCTCAAAACAACTCTTCTTTTTTACATAAAACAACCCATCTAATATCTTCAACTATCGCCCAACTCAGTCGATTTTAATCCTTCGAGGTTGTTGATTCTAGTTCGAGTTTTCAGGTCTATAACTCGACTGAAGATCACTGTGTGTGGAGTTTCCCTTTCTCTGTAATCGTTTGCAATTTCGAGCAATAAAGGTTCATTTCTATATTCTTATTCTCCTAACTATTTGATTCTATTAAAGTTATATGGAAGATTTATTTCGTTGGAGTGACCCCAATTTTGAGACAATAAGTGTAACAACCTAGCCGGTAGTTTTGAGTATTATAGTCACGTTTCCCAATTTACTGCTTATTTTATGCTCAAACTGTTGTTATGTAACATGTCGGGGTAGTTGGATTAGTGCTGGGGATGTTTCGCAATGAATTGTGACACTTAGTCCCAAGGTTGGAAACTTAAGTTAAAAGAGTTGACCAGATATTGACTTATGCGTAAACGACTCCGCAATGAAATTTGGATGGTTTCGATAGTTCCGTATGGTTATTTTGGACTTAGGAGTATGTCTAAATATTTATTTAGAAGTCCGTAGTTGATTTTGGCTTGGAATGACGAAAGTTGAAAATTTTGAAGTTTGGAAAGCTGAGAAGTTTGACCGAGGGTTGACTTTATGGTTATCAGGCTCGGATTTTAGTTCCGAAAATTGAAATAGGTCTGTTGTGTCATTTATTACTTGTGTACAAAATTTGAGGTCAATCGGAATTGATTTGATAGGTTTCGGCATCGATTGTAGAAGTTAAAATTTCTTAGTTCTCATTAAGCTTGAATTGGGGTGTGATTCATATTTTTGATATTGTTTAATGTGATTTGGGACCTCAAGTAAGCTCGTATCATATTTTAGGATGTGTTGGCATAATTGGTTAAGGTCCCGGGAGCCTCGAGTGGATTCTGGATGGTTAACGGATTGGAATTTTGACTTAGAAATCTGATAATCTGCTGAGTCTTGTTTCCTTCTTCGCATTCGCGAGGGAGGTATCACGTTCGCGGAGGGCATCTGCAGGCAGGTAAGGATTTGTTCTTCACGTTCGCGAAGAGGGCAAAATGTTCCCAAAGATTTGGGTGAGTTGTGCATCGCGAACGCGAGAGGGCAGCTGCGTTCGTAAAGAAGAAATGCAGCCTGGGATGGGACTCATGCGATTGGTCTACACATTCGTGTGAATGGCTTCACGATCTCGAAGCTTGGGAATGTTTTTTGTCATCGTGTTCGTGAGTGGATCCTTGCGTTCATGAAGAGGAAATTTTGGACAATAGCATTTTGTGCTTCGCGAACACGAGGCACCTTCCGCGTTCGCGAAGGGTAATTTCCTGAGCAACAGAACTTAAGTTTTGAAAATGAGACGAAGTCTCATTTTTCCACTTTTGGGATTTTGAGCTAGGTGTGAGGCAATTTCTCGGGAGATTTTCAAGTAATACATTGGGGTAAGAATTTCTAACTCGATTTCGGTTAAATTACACGAATCCATTATTGTTTTTATAATTAAATTAGTGAATTGAGTTGAAAATGGTAGAAATTTTCTAGACTTTAAATTAAGGATTTGGAGGTCGAGTTGATGTCGGAATTTGATAAATTTGGTATGATTGGACTCGTGGTTGAACGGGCCTTTATATTTTATAGCTTTTGTCGGGTTCTATGACGTGGCCCCCATATTGATATTTGAGTTAACTTTTTAGATTTTAATTTGAAAACTTAGCATTTTTATATGGAATTGATTCCTATAGCTTATATTGATTGTATCGAATTGTTTGTGGCTAGATTTGAGGCGTCTGGAGGCCGAATCCTGAGGAAAATATTTATTTGAGAAGATAATTTGCATGGTTTGAGGTAAGTAACACTTTTAAACTTGGTTTTGAGGGTATGCATCCCTGAATTACATGTTATATGATTGATATAGAGGTGACACACATGCTAGGTGATGGGCGTGTGGGCATGCACCATAGAAATTGTGACTTAATTGATTCTGTGGAGTTGTGAAGTCAAATAATTTTGTTATTTTCCATATATTCTCCACTTTGTTTGAGAAATTGAGCTAAGACTCATATTAAAATCATGCTGAGGTTATATGCCGGTATTATTGGGACCCACAGAGGTCATGTTGCTGTTGAATTATTTGCTTAATTTGAAATTATGTACTCAGTGACATTCATCATTTGCATATCATATCTCAACTTCTGTTTCCATTCATTGATATATCATACCATCATGTTGGGATGATATTTATGACATTGTGAGCCCGATAAACTGGAGATATTGATGACTGAGTGAGGCCGAGAGCCTAGATGTGAGGATAATTATGAGATCAGGATGCACGCCACAACATATTTTATTGATTCATGTCATGATTGGCTTATTATAGCGCTTGGGCTTGATCTGCCCCTCCAGAGTCTGCACACCCACAGTGAGCGCATGTGTGCGAGTGCCGAGCGATTGGGAGGATTGAATGACTCTGAGGAATGAGTGACTGTGAGGATTGAGTGATTGTGAGGTTTGAGTGGCTGGGAGGATTAAATGCATTGATACTCTGAGAGCATACATATGATTTTTTTCACTATGTGGCATTACAATTGGCATGCATAGTTGACATGTAGAGGTAGAGATGTATCATCCCTCATTTCAGCCACACTTGGGATATTTTACATGTATTGACCTTGAATGTTGAACTTGAAAGCATGTCTACATTTCTGTACGGTTATTTTTTATATTTGGATTATATCTGTTGAGCTTGTCACTTCTTTCAGCTCAAAGGTTAGTCATATTACTTATTGAGTACATTGGGTCGATTGTATTCATACTACACTCTACACTTCGTGTGCAGATCTAGGTACTTTCGAATACGGCTACTGCTAGATCTCCGGAGTTTTATCTGTTGGAGACTATTAAGGTCGCTGCCTTGGCGTCCCCAAACCTTGACTCTCTTTCCTTTCAGCTATTTGTATTGTTCTAAATTTCTAGACAATATTTTTATCAGTTAGACTATATTGTCATTTAGATGCTTATGTACTCAGTGACACTCGAGTTTTGGGAATGTATTATATTGAGTCACGATATTTTTTGTCAGTATTTATGAGATTTCACTCTTAAGTTTAAATTTATTATGTTTCCAAACATAAAAATACGTGGTTTATTGTGGTTTCCGGCTTGCCTAGTATTACAATAGGCTCTATCAGGACATGTGAGATTTTGGTCGTGACAAGTTGGTATTAGAACCTAGGTTACATAGGTCTCACGAGTCATGAGCAGGATTAGTAGAGTCTTATGGATCGGTACGAAGACGTCTGTACTTATCTTCGAGATGCTGCCAAAACCTTAGGAAAATTTCACTTTCTTGTATTCTGGTCATGCGAATTTCTTGATTTCGGGAAATAAACTTCTGTTATTCTATTCTCTCACAGATGGTGAGGATGCATGCTACCAGATCAGTGGACAGACACCAATTCCACCAGCTAGAGCCACGAGAGTTCAGGGTCACGGTAGAGGCCTAGGTGCAACTCGTACAACATCTAGAGCAGCACATGTAGACCCACCAGTTACTCCAGCTTAGGAGCGGATTCCAGATATAGTTGAACTGGTGGGACCAGCTCAGGCACCAGTTGTGCCTATTATGATTCCAGGCCTTTAGGAGGCTTTGACCCAGATATTGATTGTTTGCACTGGCTTTGCTCAGGCGGTTTCAGCTCAGGATGCACCAACCACTTATCAGGCTGAGGAAGGTACTCATACCCCAGTCGCCCGTACTCCAGAGCAGGTGGTGCAGGGACTTCATATACTGGGGGTACTACCATCCTAGTCAGTTGTAGTTACTCATACCCAGTGGGTCCTGTTATGAGTGATGAGGAGAAGAAGAGACTAGAGAGATTTGGGAGGCTCCAGCTTCCATCATTCAGTGGGGGTGATTCAGAGGATACTCAGGATTTCTTGGATAGATGCCAGCAGATTATTCGAGTGTCGGGTATTCTGGAGACTAGTTGGGTTTTATTTACTACTTTTCTATTGATGGGGGCAGCCTTCAGATGGTGGGAGACCTATAAGAGAAGCAGGCCAATCGGTGCTGCACCACTTTCATGGAATGAATTCTCCATTCTCTTCTTGGAGAAGTTTGTGCCACAACCCCGCAGGGAGGAACTACGTAAACAGTTTGAGTAGCTATGTCAGAAGGGCATATGTGTGACCCAGTATGAGATGAAGTTTTAAGAGTTGTCTTGCCACGTAGTTTGGTTGGTTCCCACAGACAGGGAGAGGATTAAGAGGTTCATTGATGGCCTCAACTATCAGTTGCGTTTTGTTTTGACCGGAGAACATAGCAGGTGCTAAGTTTGATGAGGTGGCTGATATTGCTCGGTGGCTAGAGTTGGTCCGTAGTCAGGAGCGTGAGGAGAGGGAGGCCAAGAGGCCTTGTGTTTCAGGCGGATCCAGCGGTGTTCCTTCTGGGGGACAACCCTACCACAACATGAGTCGTCCTTATACGCCCGCTCAGATGGCTCATCCAGTTCATCATGGCGCATTAGCTAGGCATGGTTCATATGGTGCTCGATCGGGTCAGTGCACTCCCAGATCAGAGTTTATCTTGTGCTCCATCAGCTTAGGGTTCATCGGTACCAAGTTCTTCTAGCAGTTATTCTGGTTCTCGGGGCTTGACTCAATCCCCACCACCACTGGGGAGTTGCTTTGAGTGCGGGGAGTTTGGACATATGTGGAGACAGTGTCCCCATCGTTTGGGATGTTTAGCTCAACAGAGAGGTCGGGCTATGACCTCCGCATCAGTTACTTAACCATCCGCTCAGCCAGCTCGAGCTGGGGCTCAGGCAACCAGAGGGTGCCCTAGAGAGGGAGGCCGATCAGGTGAAGGTAAGGTTCGATGTTATGTTATTCCTGTCAGGCTAGAGACCGTTTCTTCAGATGCAGTGATTACAAGTATTGTTTCAGTGTGCCACAGAGATGCTTCCACATTATTTGACCCTGGTTCCACTTACTGGTATGTATCATCATAGTTTGCTCGTTATCTGGATATGTCCCGTGAGCCCTTACTTTCACCTGTTCATGTACCTATGTCGGTGGGTGATACTGTTATTGTGGACCGCGTGTATCGGTCATGTGTAGTGACTATTGGGGGATTGGAGACTAGAGTTGATCTCTTATTACTTAGTATGGTTGATTTCGACATGATTTTGGGAATGGATTGGTTGTCTCCATGTCATGCTATTCTGGATTGTCATGCTTAGACAATGACGTTGACGATGCGNTCCCGTGAGCCCTTAGTTTCACCTGTTTATGTACCTACGCCAGTGGGTGATACTGTTATTGTGGACCGCGTGTATCGGTCGTGTGTAGTGACTATTGGGGGATTGGAGACTAGAGTTGATCTCTTATTACTTAGTATGGTTGATTTCGACGTGATTTTGGGAATGGATTGGTTGTCTCCATGTCATGCTATTCTAGATTGTCATGCTTAGATAATGACGTTGACGATGCCGGGGTTGCCATGGATCGAGTGGAGAGGTTCTCCAGATTATGTTCCCAGTAGGGTAATTTCATATTTGAAGGCCCAACGGATGGTTGGGAAGGGTTGTCTGTGATATTTGGCCTTTGTGAGAGATGTTGGTAATGATACTCATACTATTGATTATGTTCCGGAAGTGCGAGACTTTCCGAATGTGTTTCCTACTAACCTGTCGGGTATGCCACCCGACAGGGATATTGATTTTGGTATTGACTTAGTGTCAGGCACTCAGCCCATTTCTATTCTTCCGTATCGTATGGTACCAGCTGAGTTGAAGGAATTGAAAGAGCAACTTCAGAAGCTTCTTGATAAGGAGTTTATTAAGCTCAGTGTGTCGCCTTGAGGTGCACCAGTTCTATTTGTAAAAAAGAAGGATGGTACTATGCGGATGTGCATTGACTACAGACAGTTGAACAAAGTTACAATCAAGAACAAGTATCCTTTGCCGCATATTAATGATCTATTTGACCATATTAATGGAGCTAGAGTGTTCTCTAAGATTGATTTGAGGTTTGAGTATCACCAGTTGAAGATTCGGGACTCGGATATTCCGAAGACAACATTCAGGACCCGTTATGGTCACTATGAGTTCCTTGTGATGTCTTTTGGACAGACCAATGCCTCAGCAACATTCATACACCTGATGAACAGTGTATTCCAGTCGTATCTTGATTCGTTTGTCATAGTATTTATTGATGATATCCTGGTGTACTCATATAGCTAGGAAGAGCATGCACAACATTTTAGGATTGTACTACATAGGCTGAGGGAGAAGAAATTTTATGCCAAATTCTCCAAGTGTGAATTCTGCTTTAGTTCGGTGGCGTTCTTGGGGCATGTAGAGTCCAGCGAGGGGATTAGTGTGGATCCGAGGAAGATAGAGGCAATTCAGAGTTGTCCCAGACCATCTTCAGCTATTGAGATTCGGAGTTTTTTCATCTTGCCGGATATTATCATCGCTTCGTGGAGGGTTTCTCGTCCATTGTGGCGCTTTTGACCAAATTGGCCCAGAAGGGTGCTCCATTCAGGTGGTCGGATGAGTGTGAGGAGAGCTTTCAAAAGCTCAAGACTACCTTGACCACAACTCTAGTTCCAGTTTTGCCTTCAGCGTTGGGTTTCTATACAGTGTATTGTGATGCTTCTCGGATTGGTATTGGGTGTGTCTTGATGCAGGAGGGTAGAGTGATTGCTTATGCTTCGCGCCAATTAAAGCCCCATGAGAAGAACTACCATGTTCATGATTTAGAGTTGGCAGCCATCGTTCACGTATTGAAGATTTAGAGGCTCTATCTTTATGGTGTGTCTTGTGAGGTGTTTACGAATCATCATAGTCTTCAAGACTTGTTCAAACAAAATGATCTAAATTTGAGGCACCGGAGATGGCTGGAACTGCTAAACGACTATGATATTACTATTTTGTATCATCCTAGAGAGGTCAATGTGGTGTCTGATGCCTTGAGTATGAAGGCGGTGAGTATGGGTAGCCTTGCTTATATTCCCGTTGGTGAGAGACCGCTTGTATCAGATGTTTTGGCCTTGGCCAATCAGTTCATGAGATTAGATGTTTCAGAGCCCAGTCGGGTTCTAGCTTATGTGGTTTATCGGTCTTCCTTATATGATCACATCAGAAAGCGTCAGTATGATGATTCTCATTTCCCCGTCCTTAAGGACACAGTTCAGCACGGTGATTCCAAGGATGTTACTATTGGAGATGATGGGGTGTTGAGAATGTAGGGCCGGATTTGTGTACCTAATATAGATGGGTTGCGTGAGTTGATTCTTGAGGAGCCTCATAGTTCGGGGTATTTCATTCATCCGGGTGCCGCAAAGACGTATCAGGACTTGAGGCAACACTATTTGTAGAGGATGATGATGAAGGATATAGTGGGGTTTGTAGCTCGTTGCCTAAATTGCCAGCAGGTGAAGTACGAGCATCAGAGGCCGGGCGGATTATTTTAGAGGCTTGAGATTTTGGAGTGGAAATGGGAGCATATCACCATGGACTTTGTAGTTGGGCTCCCACAGACTTCGAGGAAGTTTGATACTATTTGGGTGATTGTGGATCGGTTGACCAAGTCCATGCATTTTATTCCAGTCAGGACTACTTATTCTTCAGATCAGTTGGCGGAGATCTATATCCGCGAGATTGTTTGCCTTCATTGTGCGCCAGTGTCCATCATGGGGAAGCGATGACTATTATTGATTAGGTTATTTTTATGGACCCGTAAAATTTTAGAAGATTCGGGGCTGGTCACTCCAATTCATGTAGTTGGTGTGGACTATAGCACACAAAAATCTGGGAATCTTCCTGAATTACCATTTTATAGCCCTAAATCGCCAAAAGAAAAATGAGGAACGGTCATGGAGAAGCGATAACTATTGTTCATTAGGTCTTATTTGAAGGACCGCAAAGTTTTAGGAGATTCGGGGCCGGTTGTCCTAAGTCATGTAGATGACGTAGAGTATAGAACACAAAAATCTGGGAATCGTCCTGAATTCAGGTTTTATGCCCCTAAAACGCCAAAAAATGATTAACGGTTATGGAGAAGCAATGGCTATTATTCATTAGGTCATTTTTATAGGCCCGCAAAATTTTAGGAGAGTTGAGGTTTGTCACCCGAATTCATGTAGATGGTTGGGGCTATAGACGAAAAAATCTTGGAATTGTTCTGAATTCTTGTTTTATGACCCTAAAATACCAAAAATGGGGAACAGTCATGGCAGAGTGATGACTATTTTTCATTGCGTCGTGTTTTATAGGCCTTCAAAATTTTAGGATATTCGGGTCGGTCGCCCACATACATGTAGATGACGTGGACTATAGCACACAAAAATCTAGAAATTGTCTTGAATTCCTATTTTATGGCCCTAAAATGCCAAAAATGAGGAACAGACATGGAGAAGCAATGACTATTATTCATTAGGTTATTTTTATGGGCCCAAACAATTTTAGGAGATTCGGGGCTGGTCGCCCAAATTCATGCAGATGGCATTGACTATAGTATACAATAATCTGGGAATCGTCCTGAATTTTGTTTTATGGCCCTAAAAAGCTAAAAAAGCATGAGCAGTCATGGCAAAGCGATGACTATTATTCATCAGGTCAATTTTTATGGGCATGCAAAATTTTAGGATATCCGGGGCCGATCACCCGAATTCATGCATATGGCGTGGACTATAGTACACGAGAATCTAAGAATCCTCCTGAATTCCTTTTTTGGCCCTGAAACGCCAAACAATAGGAGCGGTCATGACGAAGCGATGACTATTGTTCATTAGGTCATTTTTCTAGGCTCACAAAATTTTAAGAGATTCGGGGCCAATCGCCCAAATTCATGCAGATGGTGTAGCACACAAAATCTGAGAATTGTCCTAAATTCCTATTTTATGGCCCTAAAATGCTAAAAATTGAGTAACGGTCATGTCAAAGCAATAATTATTCATTGTTTATTTTTTATATGCCCGAAAATTTTAGGAGATTCACGGCAAGCCGCATGAATTCATATGGATGGCGTGGACTATAAGACATAAAAATTTGGGAATCATCTTGAATTCCTGTTTTATGGCCCTAAAATGACAAAAAATGAAGAACGGTCATGGCAAAGTGATAACTATTGTTCATTAGGTTATTTTTTATGGGCACGCAAAATTATAGAAGATTCAAGGCCGATCGCCCGAGTTCATGCAGAGGGCATGGACTAGCACAGGAAAAACTGAGAATCGTCCTGATTTACAGTTTTAAGGCCCTATAATATCAAAAAATGATGAGTTTTCATGGCGAAATGATGACTATAGTTCATTAGGTCATTTTATGGGCCCGCGATATTTTATGGCCCTAAAATATCAAAAAATGAGTAACGGTCATGGCAAAGCGATGACTATTGTTCGTTAGGTCATTTTGTATGGGCCCGTAAAATTTAGGAGATTCGGCATCGGTCACGCGATACATGTAGATGGCATGGAATATAGCACACACAATTCTGGGAATTATCCTGAATTCCTATTTTATGGCGCTAAAACACCAAAAATAAGGAATGGTTATGCGAAGCAATGACTATTGTTCGTAAAGTCGTTTTTGATAAACACGTAAACTTTTAGGATATTCGGGGTCGACCGCCTTAATTCATGCAAATGACGGGACTATAACACACAAAAATCTAGGAATCGTCCTGAATTCCTATTTTATGGCTCTAAAATGCCAAAACAAAATGGAATAGTCATGCTGAAGTGATGACAATTGTTCATTAAGTTATTTTTTATGGGCCAATAAAAAAATAGGAGATTCGAAACCGGTGACCCGAATTTGGCACACGAAAATTTGGCAATCGTCATGAATTCCTATTTTATGGCCCTAAAATGTCGAAAAATGAGGAACGATCAAGTGACTATTGTTCAAAAAGTCATTTTTTCGAGCCCCCAAAATTTTAGGAGATTCAGGGTCAATCGCCCGAATTCATGCAGATAACGTGGACTATAGCAAACGAAAATTTAAGAATCGTCTTGAATTCCTGTTTTATGACCCTAAAATGTCAAAACATGAGGAACATGATAAAGTGGGTTCGGGTTGACCTGGAAGCGAGGATGAAGCACTTGAAGAAGCAACCTGCATACAAGGTGCAATAACAGTGAGATTGGAGGGTACACTAGATGGAGAAGGACTACTTAGGGTAGGTTGAGATAAGGTTGCAAACGGAAATAATTTTCATCAAATATGACATGACGGGATATGTAAAGTTTCCCGGAAGAGATATGCAAGCACTTGTAACCTTTATGGTGACTGCTATACCCCAAGAATACACATTGTGTAGAATAAAAATCAAGCATATGAGAATTATAAGGGAGTAGATACGGATAACAAGCACAGCCAAAAACTTTCAGAAATTTGTAATCGAGAGACTTGTGAAAAAGTTTTTCGAAAGGAGATATGTTATTTAGAACTGGAGTAGGAAGTCTATTGATCAATTAAGTAGTAGAAGAGAAAGCTTCATCCTAAAATGTTAAAGGTAGAGAAGCATGAGCAAGTAAAGTTAGGCATGTTTCAACAATATGTCTATGTTTTCGTTCAGCATACCCATTTTGTTCATGCGTATGAGGAAATGACAATTGGTGAATGATTCCAAATTGTTCAAAATACTTTCGAATTGAACAACTCTAATTTGACGTTCCAAGAAATTTTCAACTTGAGATTTAAAACGTAAAAAGATGGTGTACACCTCATGTTTTGAGACCATAGGATATAACCATGTATATTTGCTATAGTCATCAATAAAAATAACATAATAACGAAATTTATTTCCAGCTTGATAGGGAGAAGGACCCCATATATCAGAGTGAATTAAATCTAAAGGACTACTGGAAATTGAATTTGAACTAGGGAATGGCAACTTGTGACTCTTGCCATATTGACACGACGAGCAAACTGAAACATAAGAATCTCTTGAAATTGACAAATTTAGAGATTTTATGATATTATTGACTACACTTATTGAGGCATGCCATAAGCGGTTATGCCAAAGAGCAAACGAAGATCGAGACTTAGACACATGAAAAGTTTGAGGATGGTTGGGCTTGCTTTTTGAAGATGTCAAGGAGTTGAGTTTGTATAAGCCATGTTCAAGGTTCCCTTCCAGTAGTACCTTCCTGTTTGTGCGATCCTTCACAAAACAATCACGTGGGTGAAATTCAAAGAACACATTATTATCATATGCAAATTGTACAATACTAAGCAAATTCTTAGTTATTTCAGGAATATGGAGAATATTGCGCAAGCGTAATAATCTACCAGAAGAAGGTAAAATTGAATCACCAACATGAGCAATTTTCAAACATGTGCCAATTCCCACATGTATCTGCTCAGTGCCATTGTAGCCACCTTGAACATCCATATTACTCATATCATTTGTAAGATTGTTCGTAGCACCCGAATCATGATACCACGAAGGATCAATAATAGTAGATGGTTGAGCAATCAACACATCCATGTTTTGCTTAGAATTAGATTGATATGCATGATCAAATAAATGATAATAAGTTAGAGAAGTATGGCCATACTTTGAACAAACTTGACACTGATTTGAACCGGTGAATTGTTGAGTTCCTGAAGTGTGTGAACGATAACCAGAACCTCGACCTTGTCCATGACCATACCTTCCAAAGGAATTTTGAGACTGATTATTGTTCCTTTTAAAGTTAGACTCTTGCTTTGTAGTGTTACTGTTCTTAACAGTGACATGAACTTTTCCCAAGCCTTGTTCCAAGACACTCATCTGTTCCAGTCTGTTTTTATGGTTGAGAAGAAGTCCATAAAGGTCAGCCAACGTGATGCCATCAAATCTGGAAGTAACAGACACAACTAAGGTGTCATATTCAGGGCCTAGTCCTCCTAGAATGTGTAGAACTAGGTCATCATCTATAACGGGCTGCACAACAACGACTAGATTGTCTGCAAGAGTCTTCATCTTCTGTAGGTAGTCAACCATGGTGGAAGAACCCTTTTTCGTTGTCTACAATTGCAGTCGTAATTGCATTAATCTTGCACGAGATTGTGACGCAAACATGGTCTCTAAAGAGACCCAAACTTCTTGAGATGTGGTGCAACCTACAACTTGGGCTAATACACCTTCTGTTAGGGATGAGAGCAGCCAACTAAGGAGAAGCTGGTCTTGCTTTTTCCATGCTAGAAAGAGAGGGTTAGTCACAGATTCGGCAGTGTTTATAACAGTGCCGCTACCTGGGATGAATTTGGGTGGGCATTCACATGATCCATCACATAGCCTTCAAGATTATGCCTTCTTAATGCTGGTAGGACTTGAGATCTCCATAATACGTAATTATTTCGATCTAGTTTGATGATATGAGATTGTGAAACATTGGTTGAAAAGGGAGAACTAATGGTAGAATGATTGTTTGAAACATTGATTATGAAGGAAGAAGCCATGAGTATTGACGTGAGTCTTTGGTCGTCTGATACCATGTAAGGAATTGATCTTGAGATAAAAGGCTGCTTGCTTTCATTCATTGAGGAATCCCTCATTATATACAAGTTATACATTCTATAGTTTAGAGTTGTATTAGCTATACAAGATTAGGAGATAAGATACAAAGAGATATGTATCTATCCTATCACAACTATAATATCTGACAAGATAAAACTGAATTCAATAACCTATGTATTATCTATTACTGTATTCCTAACAAGATGAACTCGGCACTGAAAGGCTACATCCCCCTCTGCTCGCATTACAAACTACTTAAGAATATATATGTTTGAAGAGTATATGCAATACACGTGTCTTTCATATATCGATTTGGAGTAAAAAAGTTGTTACACTTGCCTGCGCCTGTCGACTGATTCTATTGCATGCTGGTTAGCGAAACTTCTTGTATTTTTCCCCAAAATACATAAATGTGAAATTGTGAATATAGCAAATCTCGATAAATATGAACTGCATTATGGGAGATTCATAAGAAGATCCAGTACATATATATCTCTCTATATAAGGTAGGTTAATTATATAGACTAGACTTTTTTCATTCATTAACCTTCCATAAGCAAAAGATTTTCTTTGTCCCGCTATTCAAAATTCAAGATCGTAATCAAAGTTCATAATTGCAAATAGAGGCTGTTCACCAGCAAAATTAGTAAGTTATTAATGAACTAGGTATTATATATTGTTACAGTACGAAGCACTCAAAAGTAAAAGAAAAAGACCACTTTTCCTTTATACAACATGGATAAGGTTTCGATGATTATGTTCTTCCTATTCACCTCATTGGTCTTTTCAAATGGTTAGTCTCTCTCTCTCTCTCTCTCTCTCTCTCTCTCTCTCTCTCTCTCTCTTTTAACTCAGTTACTCATAATATTCGAAAAAGGTTTAATAAAGATGTAATTTGATAGAATCTAACTTACAAAACACGAAGGAAAAATTTGGAACATCGGTAAAATTGTCATAGGATATGCAGAATTGGAATTTGATNCAGTGTGTTCTTGCATCAGATTGCCATAGGATATGCAGAATTGGAATTCGAGTATGTATTGATAGCACATGCAATTGTTGTGTTTCACCAACATGCTCTGCTGATCAAGAAAACATTGGCGTTGGCCGCAAAGTCCTGACCTAAGGCCGTTGGAGTTTGTTACTATGGATTAGCCTTATTGGCTTATAAAGATAATTATGTTTTAAGGAGTATTGTTATATAAGATGTTGTTTAATTAATTGAGCTTGTTGAAATGAATGGTAACAAAATTGCATTACTTGTTGGTTCTTGACAAGAAAAAATGTTCCTTCTAGTTTAGGATCTTTAATTTCTTATGACTTTTGTTACTCCCTCTCGCTCAAATTTTGGCAAATTTTGGTGATTCGCCAGGATTTGTGAATAGTTTATTCTAAAGATACGCCACAATTTTTACTAAAGTCCTAATGATATGTGTATACTTGCATGATTTCGGGCGATCGGTTCTAAATCTCCTAAAATTTTGTGGGCCCACAAAAAACACCCTAAGTCATCATTTCGCCATGACCGTTCCTCGTTTTTTGGCATTTCTGGGCCATGAAGCAGGAATTCAGGATGATCCCCAGATTTTCGTGTGTTATAGTCCACACAATCCGCATGAATTCGGGCGATCGACACTTCTAAAATTTTGCGGGCCTATCAAAAACGATCTACTGAACAATAGTCAACACTTCGTCATGACCGTTCCTTTTTTTTTTTTTTTTTTTTTTTTTTTTGTATTTTTACAGGAATTTAGGACGATTCCCAGATTTTCGTGTGCTATAGTCCACGCAATCTGCATGAATTCGGGCGACCAGCCCCGAATCTTCTAAAATTTTGTGGGCCTATAAAAAATGATCTAATGAACAATAGTCATCGCTTCGCCATGACCGTTCCTCGTTGTTTAGCATTTTAGGGCCATAAAACAGGAATTCAGGACGATTCCCAAATTTTCTTGTGCTACAGTCCACGCAATATGCATGAATTTGGATGTCCGGACTTGAATCTCCTATATCTTTGTGGGCCCATAACAAATGTCCTAACGAACAATAGTCATCGTTTCGCTATGACCGTTCCTTTTTTTTTTTTTTTGC